GATGAAAAGGTAATTCAATTAGAAGATTCCAATAGCCTTAAGGAACACAATATGTAGAGAGTTTGAAGAGAAGAGTTCCTATAGCTTTAAGGGAACAATATGAAGATAGTTTGATGAGAGGAGATCCTGTAGCTTTAAGGATTACAACATAGATATAGTTTGATGAAAGGAGTTCCTGTAGCTTTAAGAAATGAGACATGCAATTGCAGGAATGCAAAGAGTTCCTGTAGTTTAACCCCTTAAGGACACTTCTGGAATAAAAGATAATAAAAAAGGATAGTTTGATGAGAGAGTTCCTGTAGCTTTAAGGAACAGAATATGAAGATAGTTTGATGAGAGAGTTCCTGCAGCTTTAAGGAAAACAATATGGAGATAGTTTGATGAGAGAGTTCCTGCAGCTTTAAGGAACACAATATGGAGATAGTTTGATGAGAGAGTTCCTGTAGCTTTAAGGAACACAATATGGAGATAGTTTGATGAGAGAGTTACTGTAGCTTTAAGGAACACAATATGGAGATAGTTTAATGAGCGAGTTCCTGTAGCTTTTAAGGAACACAATATGGAGATAGTTTGATGAGAGAGTTCCTGTAGCTTTAAAGAACACAATATGGAGATAGTTTGATGAGAGAGTTCCTGTAGCTTTAAGGAACACAATATGGAGATAGTTTGATGAGAGAGTTCCTGTAGCTTTAAGGAACACAATATGGAGATAGTTTGATGAGAGAGTTCCTGTAGCTTTTAAGGAACACAATATGGAGATAGTTTGATGAGAGAGTTCCTGCAGCTTTAAGGAACTCGAGTACACTTCAGTGATTGATTTATTTATTCGGAAAGTTCATAAGAAGAATACGTGTATAAGTTCATGTATTATTTACAATTTATAACAAAACAGAACTTCTGGTCTTCCCTCGCTCAAGTTTTGCTACTCCCTGTTTCCCTTTCAAGTCAATGGCACTGTGGTGGAATCTCGGTAAAAATAAATTTAGTAGGCCGAGATTACCACGTGGCATGTGTACATGCATATGCTGACGTATCGATCAGTTGGTTGCACGAGGCAAGATATGATCAGTAGTGTACGGAGCATGTGCAAGAATACAGGATGTAGTATTCCCCTCCTCCATTGTGCTGGACAAGCCATGCGGTCAAGCAAGAAGTTAATTCTTATTTGTAATGATTGGTCAAGAGAATGTGCGGGTGGAGCTTAATATGGGAGGAGTTATGTGCCTATATAGGGAGCCTGCACTATTGTTCAGGGCTCAGAACTTGCTGTATTTTTGGTGACATTAGTCCCTCTGAGTCCCGGTCGGTGATCCAATAAAGAATCTCTTCCTTCCTGAAGAAACCTGTGTCCATCTCTCTGTGCTTTGCTTCCGTCAGTTTCTCCGGTATCATTTGGTGCATTGGCCGGGAATCTCATCGTTCAACGGTAGCTGAGAGGCAGAGGCGTGAGACGGTCTATCTTTGCCCGCGTTCTCTACGGCTGCACCCCTGAACTTCTGCGTGGACCTCCCTTCGTCTCGGCGCCACTGGTCTGTTGTCCAGGAGATCATCGGCCTCTACGTAAGAAGTGCTGGGGTGTCCCCGTCGATGAGTGTGAACTCAGGTTCAGGAACGAGGAGGTAAGACAACTGCTGTTTTAGGCGGCAGACCCACTAGGGGTATACCGATTGTGCGGTAGGCCCAAAAGGGGTTTAAATCTGTGTATGGAATCTGCCCCCTCTGTCGGAGGGAAGGAGCGAAGGCGCACCGCTCGATCGAACGCTCTTTAGTAAGACCGTTTGATCTGGTTAGTCAGGCGGAGTCCTGTGTAAATAGCCCTAGCCGGACACCGGTGTCTTGTCTAGACTAGCGTTCTAGGGTGTATATTACGTTCGCTAGGTCGGAGGGACCGGGAGACTAAGCGGCGCCTGTGTAAATTCGGTTCGCTAGCTCTCAACCTATCTTGGCTAAGTGGGAAGGCGTGTAAATTTGGAACCCACTAGACTTTTGATAGAGTAAATAGACTAGAAGGGCAATTTTGTAAATTTCGCCCTCTAGTTAGCTATATGTGGTGTTTGGGCAGTGTGGCTAACCAAAACGGGTGTATATAGTTTTAGGTAGTCCATTCAAGGTACTGGCCAATAGTTTAGTTGGGATTGTAAATGTGTTAAAGATTGTTAGTAAAGTGTATATCTTGTTAGATAGCGCGAGCTCAGCCGTCTAGCGAGAGTGTTAATAGTGTGGCCAGCGGACTTCCACCTTGTCTAAGAGCCGTAGCTGCAGCCGCCCTGCTAGTAGCTGAAGCCGATAAACTCACTCTGGGTCAAGAACTTTATGTACGAGTTCCACATGCAGTACAGACGTTGTTGGATTACAAAGGAAATCATTGGTTTAGTAACAGCCGTATGACCAAGTATCAAGCAATGTTGTGCGAAAACCCAAGAGTGCATTTAGAAACTGTAAATACCTTAAATCCAGCTACCCTTTTGCCACAACCTACTGAAAGTCAACATGATTGTTTGGAAGTAATGGATGAAGTATTTTCAAGTAGACCAGATCTTCGTGATTTTCTCATCCAGAACCCTGATGTTCAATATTACACCGACGGCAGTAGTTATGTAAAAGAAGGGATCCGCTATGCAGGATATGCAGTAACAACGATAGACAAGGTGATAGAAGCTCGGCCACTGGCAAAAGGAACATCAACACAAAAGGCAGAATTGATAGCACTGACACGAGCGTTACAATTGGCTGAAGGTTTAAGAGTGAACATCTACACGGACTCCAAGTATGCGTTTTTAACCACTCATGCCCACGGAGCTTTGTATAAAGAAAGAGGACTATTGAATTCAGAAGGCAAAGAAATCAAATACGCAGCTGAGATCCTACAACTAATGGAAGCAGTGTGGGAGCCGAAAGAAGTCGGTATTATACATTGTCGGGCGCATCTGAGAGGAGATGGTGATGTAACCAAAGGGAATTGGATGGCAGATAGTGCAGCTAAGCGTGCTGCTGAATCAGGAAGACAGGAATATGTGGGGCATATAGCTGCTCTTATACCAACTCCACTGTCTCAATGGACTCCAATATATACAGCTCAAGAAGAGGAGTGGTTAAGGACTGAACCTGGAAAGTATTTGGAGAACAAATGGTATCAGTTAGAAGATGGAAGAATAGTTATTCCAGCATCACTAGCGGTAGAAATTGTCCAAAACTATCATAACGGGACACATTCTGGGAGAGACAGTACAGAAGAATCTCTCAGAAAACATTTCTACATACCAAGATTGTCCAACTTGACTCAGGCCATTGTACGTAGATGTATAGCGTGTGCTAAAAATAATGCAAGACAAGGACCAGTAAAGCCACCAGGAGTCCAGTTTATGGGGGGACTTCCCATGTCCGATTTACAAATTGACTATACAGTGATGCCTAAATCGGGTGGACATCGCTACCTGCTGGTAGTGGTGTGCACCTATTCAGACTGGGTAGAAGCATGTCCTACTCGTACAGAGAAAGCAGGAGAAGTCGTGAGATTCCTGCTACGAGAAATAATACCCCGATATGGACTACCCTGCTCTATAGGATCGGACAATGGTCCAGCTTTTGTTCATCAGTGCCTACAGCAATTGACTCATATGCTTGGTATAAAGTGGAGGCTTCATACGGCATATAGACCCCAGAGTTCTGGTAAGGTAGAGAGAATGAATAGAACTATTAAGAATCAGTTGGCTAAAATGTGTCAGGAAACCCAACTTAAGTGGAACGCTCTCTTGCCCATAGCTCTATTGCGAATCCGTAGTACACCTACCAGAAGGATGGGCCTCTCTCCTTTTGAAATCATGTACGGGCGACCACCTCCCGTGCTTGGTAACTTAAGGGGGGATTTGAGTCAGTTGGGAGAAGGAATTACCCGGCAGCAGGTTGTAGAGTTGGGTAAGACTATGGAGGAGGTACAGATAGATTACCTGTGAATATTTATCCTCCAATTCATAGTTACCACCCAGGCGACCAAGTGTGGATTAAAGAGTGGAATAATGTGCCGTTAGGGCCCAAGTGGAGAGGTCCTTATGTTGTTCTTTTGTCTACCCCTACAGCGATAAAAGTAGCTGAAGTGACTCCGTGGATACATCACTCCAGGGTTAAACCAGCAGCAGCCGATTCTTGGCAAGTTACAGCAGATCCAGAGAATCCCTGCAAGATCCGGTTAAAACGCACGACTCAGTCGGAGTGACGAGGAACTTTGTGGATTACAAATTTTATTGTTTCAGAGACTTGGTAAGTGAGTGAGAAGGCCATAATAAAGCCTGTCCACTCACCAACGAGTGTATAAGTCAGGGAAAGTCTTGAGGGGACCCCTGTGAAGACGAGCAGAACTCCATTCCCTGCAGCCCTTACATCCTGGAAGCTGAGGTGCCTTCGCACGGACGAAGACTGAGGATGACGACGAAAGATGTAATTTTAATAATGTTTATTTATGTGTATTTTTATATTCAGGAAGGTAGAGGTACCGACACTCCTAGCTGTGAGGTATGCATTAAGACTACAAGAACAGGTAACCATATATCCTAGACCCTAATTTGGCATTCGCAATATGAGTGTAAAGGAGATGTATCAAGATGTAGATACTTAAATATAGAATATAGTGTGTGTCATTTAGGAGTAGGAGAACCTAAGTGCTTCAGTCCTGAGTATCAACCCCGTACAATTTGGTTGACTCAGAAATGGAGATCCTCAGGGGACCCTAATTAATAAGACGGTATTAGAATCCGTATATTCTTCAGGTGCTCTGCTATTTGATGCGTGTAAAGCAATATCAAGTGGTAGAAAGCCGTGGAATGTATGTGGGGATCTCAGATGGGAGAGGACGTATGGGTCTAACGATAAATATATTTGTCCCAGTAGTAAAAATAAATATGTAAGTCCAAGATGCCCAAATAGAGATTATAACTTCTGCCCATATTGGTCTTGTGTGGGGTGGGCGACTTAGGGACAGACAGCAGACAAGGACATGATTGTGACTAAGTTGCCTACTGATCCATATTGTAAGTCTATGGAATGCAATCCAATCCATATACTTATAAATAACCCTGACAAGTTCCTAGATAAATATGGTAATTTATTTGGGTTTCAAATATATGGGACGGGTTTAGACCCTGGGACAATATTGTTTATAGGGATAGAGACTGATACGGTAACCTCCCAAACTCATCAAGTATACCATTCCTTTTATGAAGAGATGAGCATAGATAATAAGATCCCCCATAATGCTAAAAACTTGTTCATTGATTTAGCCGAAAGTATTGCCGGTAGTCTTAATGTTACCAACTATGTGTGTGGAGGTACTAACATGGGAGACCAATGGCCTTGGGAAGCAAAGGAGGTAATGTCCGGTTCTGAGGCAGTTGACCAATTAATATCTACACAAGCCGACTATCATATGAGTGTTAGAGGTAAATCTGAGTGGAGATTGAAGACCTCCATCATAGGCTATGTTTGCATAGCGAGGAAAGGAATGATGTATAATACTTCTGTAGGAGAATTAACTTGTCTAGGGCAAAAAGCTTATGATGATGATACAAAGAATACAACTTGGTGGTCGGCTCCAAATGTCTCAGAACC